GAGAAATATGTGGTTGAGGTTGAGTCTCAGTATCTAATTTTTTTTCAGAATCTCATTGAAACCTACCTACCTATAGTGGAGACGTAGGAATTCTACTGTAGTTGCACCTTACACTAGTAGTTGTACATATTTGTTTTAATGGGTGCATCTTAATAGAAATAAATACAATACGACAAAAATTCAATTGGTCTCCCAATATCCCCAGGAGACACCTAAATCCGTCGTTGGCTATATATATATATATATATATATATATATATATATATATATATATATATATATATATATATATATATATATATATATATATATATATATACAGATAGAGAAGTTCAATTGAGAAAATAAAAAAAGTTGAAGAAATAGGGGAATCATTCTCAACCAATCATTTAGTTTTGCCGCAAAACCCTCCACCGTATCGGCGGAAAGAGAAAGAAATACAAGTGTGTTTTCAAACAAAACATGTTTCCTTAAACTATGTTAATCATTACCTTAATATATACAAAAACATAGTTCTTTTTTTTTGCTAATTTTTAAAGAGTTATTTTTATCGAAAAACAATTTTAAATATATCAAAATTTATAATTTTTTATTCTCTTTAAATAGACATCGTTATTCACATAGTTTTAAGATCAAATAAAAAATTTATTTTTTATAGCTTCAACTCTCTTTATTCATAAGTGAATAAAAATATATCAAATTTTTATTACAGTTCATTCGTTATTCACTTATGAATAAAAAGTATGCTTAATTTTTTTGATAGTTTAATTACCATTCATATATTAATATAACATGTAATAAACTTTTTAATGTTTAGATTAGCTCTCCACACATGTTATATTCACATATGTATTAAACATGTATTAGCTCTCTTCACAAGTTATATTCATATATGAATAACACATTTATCAAAATTTTGTTACAGCGCATTTTTTATTCATATATGAGTAAGTAGTTCGAATTTTCAAAACATTTCGTCTTTTATTAACATACTACTTATTTATATATGAATAACAAATAAGTTGTAACAAAAATCTAATAAATGTTTATTTATATATGAATATAACATATAAGGCGAGCTAATACACATTTTATTCATATATGAATAAAACGTATTACGAAAGATGTTGTAAAAAATATATTTTAGGCAAAAAAAAATTTATTACGTGTTAGATTCATATATGCATTATATTAAAACTGTATTAAAAATTTAAGCATATGTTTTATTTATAAGTGAATAATGAATGTACTGTAATAAAAATCTGATACATTTTTGTTTATTTATGAATAACGAAATATTTTATTTTATCTTAACACTATATCAATATGGATTTTTATTTATAGAGAACAAAAGTATTATGAATTTTGATATATATTTAAAAAAAAATTCGAGAAATATAGTTTCTAAAAAATTAAAAAACAAAAAAAATGTTTATATATATATATATATATATATATATATATATATATATATATATATATATATATATATATAGGGACGGGTTCAATAGAGAACCAATATGGGTGGAGGAACCAAGGAACCTATTAAGATGGTTGGATCAAAATATTAACAGTCATTGGATTTGAGATGTAAAAGTATGAAAAACAATAGTGTGCAGCTGATTATAACCAAACACGTAACTTAAGGGGGCATTGTCGTCAAACTAAAACTTTTTAACTCTCACTGTTAATTAACGTCGTTAGTTCATCAGTTTCAATTCAGTGAAATCGATTTTACCCTCTCATTGAAAGCGATCTTTTACTCCACCGACGACATCGATTTCAAACGAATCTCCGGCGACGATTCAGTCAATATCCACAGTGAATCTTCCCGAAAAGTTCGTCAAAATGAATCTAGAAGGTATATTTGACTACTATTCACTTTCGATTATCTCATTTAATCAACTTTCAACATTATATTTTTTCAATTGATAAATTTCAAAACGACAAATCTAAACTATCTGTTACATTATGTATTCGATGAATCTGTTAATACACTATTTTATTAACAAAATCGTTTTAGACTGATTTGAAACCCTCGTCGGATGATGAACTTTTAATAATTTGTATACATAACGAAAACCTAATGAATATCTATATTACAAACTGAAATTTCCTAAAACTTTGTGAATTTAACTCGAATCTGAGTTTATTAAGTAAATCGAAACCCTAATTTCATGAACTTTTGAGAATTCGTATAATTACCAAAAACCTAATGATATAAATTTCTTCAAATTGATACAGAAATCATGAATATCTAAATTACAAACCGTAATTTCCTAAAAACTTTGTGAATCTAAGTGGTTTCCGAATTTATTCATTAAACTGAAAAACTAACTTCACATTTTGAATTCACAGTGTGCTTTGTGATTTACATTTGATTATTTTGAAAGGATTCAATGTTTCTGAGTATTATATTATTTGACAATTCACAAAGTGAATCATGATTATATATCAATTTAACATATCATTTATTCAAATTGTGAATTCACAGGGTGATTTATCATTTACATTTGATTTTTTCATCTTGTGAAATTCACATTGTGCATCTATGTTTAATTCATATTGTATCTCTTATTGTGCTTCTCATTGTAAATTTATAAAGAGTTGCATTGGTAATGTTTTGATTCAAACTGAATTCACAATGTGAATAAATAATAACTTTCATACCATGAAATTGATGTTTGAAATAATTTGTTCATCAAAAACAGGAAATGAAGAAAAGATTAATGAAAAAAGGATAATAAGAAAAGAATGAAATTGACAAGAAGTCTAAAAGATGTTCTACCTTCAACTACAAGTGAAAAAATTGAAGATATTCAAGATAAAAAAAGGTTAGAACATTTGCATTCAGATTAAAATAACTAATTATCTAATCATATACTACACACTTATTAAAAAAAACTAATTCACAATGTGAATCTTGGATGTGTATCTCACATTCAAACAAAATGTGAATCTCTTAAAAACATTTTTTTGGCAAGTTGATCAACACTTTTGTTTGTATTTGACTATGCACAATGTAATTGTAAAAATTCACCATGTGTATGTGTACATCACTTGGTGAACCTCAAACTCTTTTGCTGTTAAATGCATAAATTCACAATGTTCTAAAAGAATGAAATTGACAAGAAGTCTAAAAGATGTTCTACCTTCAACTACAAGTCAAAAAATTGAAGATATTCAAGATAAAAAAAAGGTTAGAACATTTGCATTCAGATTAAAATAACTAATTATCTAATCATATACTACACACTTATTAAAAAAAACTAATTCACAATGTGAATCTTGGATGTGTATCTCACATTCAAACAGATTCACAATGTGAATCTCTTAAAAACAATTTTTTTTGCAAGTTGATCAACACTTTTGTTTGTATTTGACTATGCACAATGTAATTGTAAAAATTCATCATGTGTATGTGTACATCACTTGGTGAACCTCAAACTCTTTTGCTGTTAAATGCATAAATTCACAATGTGAATCTTGGATGTGTATCTCACATTCACACAGATTCACAATGTGAATCTGTTAAAAAAATGTTTTTTTTCTTTTGCAAGTTGATCAACACTTTTGTTTGTATTTGACTATGCACAATGTAATTATAAAAATTCACCATCTGTATGTGTACATCACTTGGTGAACCTCAAACTCTTTTGCTGTTAAATGCATAAATTCACAATATGAATCTTGGATGTGTATCTCACATTCACACAGATTCACAATGTGAATCTGTTAAAAAAATGTTTTTTTTCTTTTGCAAGTTGATCAACACTTTTGTTTGTATTTGACTATGCACAATGTAATTGTAAAAATTCACCATGTGTATGTGTACATCACTTGGTGAACCTCAAACTCTTTTGCTATTAAATGCATAAATTCACAATGTGAATCTTGGATGTGTATCTCACATTCAAACAGATTCACAATGTGAAATTCTTAAAAAGATATTTGTTTTTGAAAGTTGATCAACACTTTTGTTTGTATTTGACTATGCACAATGTAATTGTAAAAATTCACCATGTGTATATGTACATCATTTGGTGAAACTCAAACACTTTTGCTGTTAAATGCATAAATTCACAATGTTAATCTTGGATGTGTATGTCACATTCAAACAGATTCACAATGTGAATCTCTTAAAAACATTTTTTTTTTGCAAGTTGATCAAAACTTTTGTTTGTATTTGACTATGCACAATGTAATTGTAAAAATTCACCATGTGTATGTGTACATCATTTGGTTAAACTCGAACACTTTTTCTGTTAAATGCATAAATTCACAATGTGAATCTTGGATGTGTATCTCACATTCACACAGATTCACAATGTGAATCTGTTAAAAAAAAAAAATTTTTGCAAGGTGATCAACACTTTTGTTTGTATTCAGTATGCACAAAGTAATTGTAAAAATTCACAATGTGTATGTATATATCGTTTGGTGAACCTCAAACTCTTTTGCTGTTAAATGCATAAATTCACAATGTGAATCTTGGATGTGTATCTCACATTCAAACAGATTCACAATGTGAATCTCTTAAAAACATATTTTTTTTGCAAGTTGATCAACACTTTTGTTTGTCTTTCACTATGCTCAATGTAATTGTAAAAATTCACCATGTGTATGTGTACATCATTTGGTGAACCTCAAACTCTTTTGTTGTTAAATGCATAAATTCACAATATGAATCTTGAATATAGCTCATAGCCTAACAGATTCACAATGTGAATTTCTAAAAAGTATTTGCAATTTGATCATCACATGTTCAATTTTATATTGTTTGACATGTATTAATACTACTTATATTTTTGACATTCATATTAAAAATTTCACATTATGTAGTTGAAGGTTCAAAAAAATATACCAAAAACACAGCAAGGAGAACCGTGGTGGAAATAGTTAATAAGTTAAGAAAAAATGAAGATGAAAAGACTATTGAAGAAAATGTTGAAAAAGAAAAAAGTTTAGAAGCTGATGAGATTCAAGAAAAGCAAAAAAAAATGATGAAGCAAGATGAATCTGTTTTGAAGACACTTGAAAAGAAAACAACTCAAGGTTAGTATTTATAAAATTATAATTTACTTTAATATATAAAATCAATTATCTTTAATTTTTTTTAAATGAACAGAAATCAGACAGAGTCCAAGATTACATAAAACAAAAACGAAAAAGTCGATGAAGCAAGAAAAATTTGTTTTCAAGACACCTGAAAAGAAAACAACTCAAGGTTAGTATTTATAAATTATAATTAAATTTGGTATTATAAAATTAATTCTTTATAAATTTGTTAAAACATGAACAGAAATCAGACAGAGTCCAAGACTTAAAATGATTGAATACAAAAAATCTGTGACTCCTATTAAAGTTGAAGATAGCCTTGTAAAGAAAGAATCTGATGAAAAAATAACAGGTTTGTTTATTACTATTCACATGTTTAATTTACAAAGTTATAAACAAATTCACATGTTTATTTTATGTATTATATTATATTTTGCAAAACAAATTCACATGTGAATTTCTTGTATTGTTAGTTATTTTATATTATATATGTTATATTATGAGAAGCTTATGAAAATTATTGACTAACAGGAAAAAGAAAAACAAAAACAAAGACTCTGGAAGTAGTCAAAGAAAAAAAGGCAAAAGTGCCAATAAATCCAAATGACAGAGTATCTTTGAGAACAAGAATGAGCCCAAAGAAGTTTTATGATATTGTTAAATCTATAAACAAAGAACAGAGAAAAGCTGTCAGAGAAATGGGATTGGGATCTTTGCTGAGAATTGCAACCAATGGAATTTCTGGGAAATTGGCACGTTTTGTTGTGAATTCATTCAATCCATCAGATATGAAAATCCATCTACCTAATGCAAAGATAGACATAACACCAGAACTTGTTCATGATTTGCTTGGAATTCCTCTAGGTGGAAAAGATATATATAACACTGATCAATGTGAAGGAAAAGAATTAATGGACTGGAAGCAACAATACAATTTCAAGGCTATGAGACCATCAGATGTTGAAGAGAAAATTAAAGAATCATCAGATTCAGGGATTATTTTCAGAACAAACTTTGTATTATTGTTTGTTAATACCATTTGTGAACAGAATAAGCCTGGAACTTGTAAGACAACAGTATTGCCACATTTGTTAGGCAAAACACCTATGAGAGAAATTGACTGGTGTGGTTTTATAACCAATTGCTTGAAAATGTCAAAGACGACATGGGATGAAACCGATAGAGGAAACTACTATTGTGGGCCACTTCTTGTATTATTGGTAAGGAAAATTCTTATAATTAACACTTTTATTTATATTATTATAAGAAAACTAATTAATCATAATTTTGTTTACATAAACAGCTAGCTTATTTGGAGTTTATGAGAAATGATAAGAATGAAAAAAGACAAATACATGCACTACATTTTTGGGATTATGAAATGATGGTGAAAAGGGAAAAAGCTGAGTTAAAGAGTGGTGACTTTGGAACTTTGGAATGGAATGATGATGTTATAGAGAATGATGAAAAATCTGACACCGATGAAAATGAAGATATGAAACTCGATGTAAGTTAATAATCTATATAATTAAAAAAATTGAAGTTAAATTACAGATATATGTTATAAAATTGTAGTTAAAATGAAATTCATAAAGTGATTCACATTGTGAATATAAAAGTGTATTTTATTACTTTCTCTATAATAAATTCACAAAGTGAATATGTAATTTATTAAAATGCATTAAAAATGTGATACCTCATCAATGCATTCATATTCTGAAACTGTAATTTATTATAGAAAAAAGTTAAAAAAAATCATTTTCTTTGACATTTTTTATCTCATTTCGCAGGAATTGGTATTCAAAGCGAAAAAGGATTACAAAAAACTAGTGAATGATAAAATGAAGTTTGGAAAGTTAATTGAGTTTTCAACAACAAAATTCACAGAAAGCGATGAGTTGAAAGATATGAAGAAAGTCTTTGAACAAGAATTCATTTATAAAACTCAAAATGAAGATGATGCAAAAGGTGACAGGGATGAAGATGAAAAAAAAAGCAAAGAGAATTTGAATGAACATGAAATAAAGAATCAAACAATCATGGTAACACCAGGAAATTTGTACAATGATCCAATAGTGCATGAGATTGCTGATTCTATTCAATGTATTTTAAATTTTGATAATTATGATGATTTTGAAAATGTAAAAAGTTTTAGAGAACAAAAAATAGATGATAAAAAAAAGAAAAAAAATACTAGAAAATCATCAATGCCTAGTTTTTCACTTGGACTTGGTCTTGGTCTAACACAAGAGTTTCAGGAAGGAGATGAAAGCAGTGAAGATGAACACATGAAGAAAGAAATAAAAGATGAAAAACTTGATGAAGGAGAAAGTTATGATTCAGAAGAAACAGAATGTGACAATAATATCTTGGGAATTAAAGATGATGAAGACAAAAAAAGAGAAGTAGGAAAAAGATTAAAAAAACCATCACTAAAGCTATCTTCCCCTTATAATAAAAAACAGGTATGTGCATCAAAATTTGTAGATCCAGATGAAGTAAAAGTATCAGATAGAATTTTTTCCAGAATTGGTAATAGCAGGTAATAATTCATGTTATCTTTTATTTAAATACAATAGTATATAAAATACAAATACAAATTAATTTTCTATTAACTGCTTTTTTGTTTTATTTGATTACAAATTAAGTGAGAAGGTATTTCAGACTAAGAGAGGGTATGTGCTTGGAAGAGGAATGATTGAAACAATGCAGGCAGGATTATGGGTACATGCACATGTCATTGATGCTTGGACTGATATTTTGAACTATGAAGAAAAGCTTAAATCAAATTCTACACTGAATCGGTATTTCTTTGATACATCAATTGTGGTAAGTTAATTAAAAAAATATATATCATGATAATGTTAATAATATAATAAATACAATTTTCAATAGTTCTGAATAAGTAATAAAATTCACACAGTGAATCCCATTATAATTCACAGTGTGAATAATTTTAAATTTAAAATTTAACTTATTGTGAATTTAACAATTTACTTTTTAAAGATTGATGTATATTTAAATTTTTTTCCAAAGACAGTTCATATTTGATAAAAATATCCCTTTCAATCAAAGATTTGATAAATTTGAGTCAAATATCAAAGATGCAATGAAAAAGGACAAAGAATTTCTGACATTTGAAAAAGTTCACTTGGTAATAAACTGTTCTTTTTGTTGAATATATTACATATTTTCAACAAAGTTTAACAATTTAAATTATTAAACAGGTGTTTTTACCAGTTCATCAAAAAAATCACTTTTACATCATCTGCATAAACTTAAAGGAACCAGCGGTTGATGTCATTGAAAATAGGAATTCAGTTGCAAAGTTTTCTAGAGCTTATCGTGATGCACCTAATGAATTGGTAAGAATATTAAATTTAGATTATAAATATAAGTATTAATAGACTGATAATCTAAATAAAATAATAACTATAGAAAATGACAATTTCTTTTTTGCAGAAAATACTTTTTAGTAGGTACTTGATGAGGGTCAATCACAAATCAGCTTTAACTTTGGAGGGTGTTGAACCAAAAAGGGTGAACATGAATTGGCGCACGAGGGATAATCATGTTGACTGTGGAGTTTTTTGCATGCGTCATATGGAGACATATATGGGAGATAAAACAGTAAATTGGACATGTGGATTGCCAAAATAATCAAAACAACAACAAAGTGTGTTAAATGATTTACGCATTAAGTATTTGACAAAGATACTATTGAGTGACAGAAACACACACATGTCAAAAATCATTGCACAAACAACTAAGTTTGCAAAAAAGACTAATGAAGAAATAAAAGATTTGCTCGACAAGGGATGGGAAAAAAGGGGAGAAAGGATATAGTACTTCAAGGATTGGAAAAAGAAGTGTAAAACTTAAAACTTAGTTTTCTATTCATTATTAGTATAAGTTTAGATGCACTTTAATTTCTTTAAGAACATATACATGCTTGTTATGTTACAATTTGATGTTAGTTCTATATCAAATATAATGAACTTTACTAAATACTTAAAAGATGTTTATATTTTCATGTGAATGTCTACATGTATGTTATACAATTACATGTTTTATTAAAAATATGATATTGGTGTGTGGGTGGGGGGAAGTGATTATATTTCTACTCTGAATAAAGAATTGAAAGTAGATTGTCATTTCATATATTTACTTCATTTCTTTTGGTCTAAATGATTAAATGTTAATGTAATAACAATACAATATATGTAGAAAATTTACATTGTTTATATGTTAACCTTGTGAAAATTTTATATGTAAGATTAACTATGTGAATTACAGTACATATTATAACATGTATATTTTTATGTGAGGTTCACAATGTGAATTATGGTACATATAGATCATTAAAACAATTAATAGTTGAGATTCACAATGTGAATTAAATTACATTAAGACAATCTTTAACATGAAAATTTTATATATGAGATTATCAATGATAATTAATATACATAAATTAAATCATTAGCATGAAATTTTTATTAGAAAATATTCAAAAAACTAACAATAAAAAAATATCTTTAACCAAAAACAATAAATTTGAAAAAAATATATTCTATTATTAGAAATAAACTCTAAAACAATGAATATCAAAATTAACATCAATATTTCAACATTTCTATCCATTGAATGATCATTACAAAAATCAAATCTTATTTTAGTCGTCTTAAAAAGAAAAAATTAGAAAATCAGCCTTCTGTAACCTCAGATTCTAAATCAGACTTCTTAAACCTCAAAATGCAACTCCTAGCATTGTGATTTGGTTTATGACATAAACTGCACAACCTAGTACCCTTTTTAGATTTCTCAATCACTTTCTCTCTAGTGCTCTTGATTCTTTTACCACTGGCCCATCCCTTGTTTCTGATCCCCTCTGGATTATGAATGTTGATAACATCAGGTACTGCAGCTCCAATAATTTTTTCAATGTGAACTGATCTACTCGAAGATGCCCTTGATGAGGTACATAAAGGAATACCACTATCAACCTCCTGAAGTTGCTTTATATATTTAGCCAACTCATCCTCATTATTTGCTATCTTGTTAATGGACAAACGAAGAATAGCATATGCATCTTGAATCAAACATTCATTTTTACTGCCTTTATGAGGATATGAGTACTCTTTTCTCAACAATCCATCAGCTATGATATCTTTTCCCCATCTCCTCAAAATGAAATTTGATGGAATTTCATCATACTCTTTCATATTTAATATGAAAAACATATGACGACATAACAATCCTTCCTGGACAAAAAGCATGCAGCTACAACTGATGCTAATGCTATCACCCCTTCTACTAAATACAACCTACAAAATTATCATTAATAAACAAATTAATATGTGAATAAGAAATTCTATCTCATACCATTCGATAAAAATTATACAAATTAACATCAATTCACATTATTAATCAACAGGACATTAGAAATCATAATACTATAATATAAATATGTACTTCAAATCAAATTCACAAAAAAAAACATATTTCATACTAATCTAATGAAAAGTACAAACCAATTTATAACTCTATAAAAATTCACACTATTAATTAGCAAAACATCCTACATTCACAGTGTGAATTTTGAAACTACATTTTATATTTAATAAACTGTATTAGGACAAAGAGACATACCTTGTAACGAGTATTAGGACAATGAGAAGGAAGACTATTTCGATAAAAGTCATCAGATTCTTCATCCTCATTCACATTTTTATCAATCAACTTTTTTTTCTTCTTATCTCTCAAAACATAAACTTCACTTTCATCTTCAATAACTACAGATTCTTGAACACAATAAAACACGGATTTATATAACTCTTTCTGAATGTCCAAGAAAATATTATGTGTATAAATTTCCGATGCATGCTTTTCAATAGCCAAAGGAGTCCTTAGCTTGGGGGTAGTAGTTGTGGACTGATAATCTAATAAAGATTGATGATGCCTTTGCTTCTCCATTGCACTATCAAACGACATCATGAACTTCACCAAATTTGATTTATGATGCAAAAAATGTGAGAAAGCATTATTCAGACTCTCTGATCTTGAAGTAGTTCGCATCAAACCAGAAAGTTCAAGATCTCTCATAAAAGCTGGAATCCATAAATCCCTTATTTTAAAAACAGACCTTAACCAGTCATTTTCTTTTAGATGAAACTTATCTAACATTGTTGACCACGAACTTTCAAAATCTTGTGGAGAACATTGAAGATTCCACATAATATCAAAAAATGTCTTCTGGAAGTCCGGATGGTTATAAACATCGATAGGAATCTAAAAAAAAGAAACACATAAGAATCATTACATATGTTGAATATTTGATGTAATTCATATTAACATAACATTTGGTTCACATTATGAATTCACAGTGTGATTTATGATTTAGATTTGTTCCTTTTTGATTATATGAAAATTTACATTGTGAATTCACTATATGCTTTATGATCTATATGGTTATAAACATATATAGGAATCAAGAAACAAAAAATATACCTTTTCCTCAAGTTTTTGAGTGATGTGCCACATGCATAGTCTATGCTTCGATTCAGGAAAAACAAAATTAACAGCTTTCTTCATTGATGAATCCTGATCTGTTACAATCATCATGGGAGGCTTCACAAATGTTTTACGAAACACTTTAAGCAACCACACATATGCATCTGCTTTCTCACGAGCTAGTAAACCAGCAGCAAAAGTAACACAACGCTTGTGGTAGTCAACTCCAGTAAAAAGAACAAATACTATAGAATACCTGAATTTTTTTTATAGGTATTATTAAAAAGAACAAATACCATAAAAAGAACAAATAAGGATTAGGAATTACTTGTTTGTTTGATAAGTAGCATCAAAAGATAGTACATCTCCAAATTCCTTATAGTTGGCTTTCGAAGTATCATCAGCCCAAAAAAGTCCAGTAAGATGATCATCAACATCTTTTTGAACCTCAAATGAAAAATTAGAGAAACACAATTTTCTGTTTGTCAATATATCCACAACCATTTGGGAATCTTTGACACCAATTTTACAATTCAAATCTCTATGAAAATTTTTAAAGTCAACTGCAGTCCCTCCCCTAGAATCAAAGCCACCCTTCATACTACTCACCAAGTTATAAGCTTTTGAAGCACCAATGTTACAAGTACCAACCTTATGTATAAAGGATTCATCAAGAAAATCCATTGTCCTATTAATCCTTAATAAGTGCAACTGATCTTGAGCAACAAGTTCATGGTTGTGATCTTCAACAAACACATAAATGTAGAACATTAAAGAACATCGGAGATTTTTGAACTTTGAAACAGCAGGGCATCCGTTCTTCTTAGAAGAAGTTCTCCTTCTCTTAACATCTGAAAATTTCACATTAACATTTTCATTCTTGAATGACTCCGTGAAACCAGATCTACTACATGTCGAATATCTAATACGAATTGTGCCATCATTGTATCTTTTTTGACTTGACATATTCACATCAAAACCACATTCTTGACCATAAGTCTTGTAAAAGTCAAGACCAATGTCTAATGAATCAAACAACAATCCTTTGAAAGGCTTCTTATGTTTCAACTTATCATAAGGAACAAGCTTAAAACTTTCAGTATTGTAGAGCTCAATAACGAGAATTACTGCTATTTGAATGATCAATATTCATACTTGAAGATGATTGATCATGAACTGCAAAACCAAACAAAACATCTATTTCATTACATTATATATAAAATGTGAAATTTATATTAAGAAAAAAAACTTACGTGATTGTTCATTAATAATTGAATGCAAATCTGAACAAGAATTACTGTTATTTGAATGATCAATATTCATATTTGAAGATGACTGATCATGAACTGCAAAACCAAAAAAAAAACATATATTTTATTACATTATATAGAAAATGTGATTTTTATATTAAGAAAAAAAACTTACGTGATTGTTCATTAATAGTTGAATGCAAATCTGAACAAGAATTCAAAGAACTCATAATGAATCGTCGGTAACCTGGAGTTTATATACAGATTAGAAATTTAGAATTGATAATTATACAAAAAAGGAAACAAATAAACAAGATAATCACAAAACTTTAAAATATATGCACAAGATAAGATAAGATTCTCAAAATCACTAAAAGTTTGGAAAAAACTTAAATGTCAGAAGATGCACAAGATATAATTGATTATCTAAATGTCGAATATGCATTACAGACGAATGATTACAAAAACGGTCGAATGAAAAACAGTAACATCAAACGCAAATTCAACATACGACATAAAAATAGCAAATAACAATAAAAACATAACAATTTGAAGATTAAACGAAACAAGAATTTGACAATAGACGATTACAATAACAATAAAAATAAGTTGATAAACAATGCATCGGAATTGACCTAATAATCATAAACGAAAGATGAATAGATATTAAAAATACCTGATTATTAGCTGAAATCTGAAGAAACTATTAGTAAATTGGATGAAAAAGGTTGATTTCGAAGAACAGCCGAGATTTTGGATCGATCGATGAA